CTTGGACTTCTTGCTCCAGGACTGATGTCCATTGGGACACGGCCAGGCCAGCATCCTGGGAGGACTGCATTCCTTGCCTGGGGAACCTTGCTCCCAGTTAGGAATCACTGGAGCTGAGGTCCCTAATGGATTGGGGGAGGCACAGGGGTAGAATGGAGGTAGCCCCATCATATGGTCCTGTGTAGACCCCAGAAAACAAGCATTGAGTTCAGACTCTTGTCTGAAGCTGGCCACATGAACGTATTTGGGCTTTGGGGTGTGATGAGGGCCTGGGGTCAGGGAACAAAGTGTTCTGGTTTGGACACGCAGGATGTTCTCTGCAGCTCCCTCAGGTACAGAGTGTGTTGCTAAGTATATGCTTTTAAAAACCCTAGGAGGAGGGGAACACAAAGGGCCCTGAAGTCAAGGGCATGGTCCAGTCTTTCCACCTCCCCAGCTGAAGACATGCTGGAGGACAATTCTCTGAGTTTCATAACAAAGAAGAGAAAAAAGAAATCAAAAAGACCTGGAGGATAGGCAAGCCAATGAGGGCTGACTGGGATTACCCTGCCTAATCCTCAAAACAAGCTTTCCCTATATGTCCTCTGGGCCAGGTGAGGAAACAGGTCACAGTAGGACATTCAGACCCTGGGCAGGCAGCCGGCAGCCTGGAGCCCAGGAGTGCAAACACATTTTTACTGAGGCACATCCTGCACAGCCCTAAATCCATTAAAACTTGAGGCAATACAGCACATGCTTCTGTGAGCACAGGGTTGGGCTGGGGTTACAGATTAACAGCATCTCAAGGCAGAAGAATTTTTCCTAGTACAGATCCAAATGGACTTTCTTATGTCTTCATCTTTCTCCATAGACACAATAACAGTCTGATCTCTCTTTCTTTCCCCCACACAGAGAGTGTCACCACTGTATGTCAGCCACTAGGGGACAGGCTTCAGCCTCGCCATGCCGGAGACCTTTCAGGACAGACCTGAGGAAGGTGGGCAGAGTGGGTAGGGAGAGGAGGGCCTGGCCTGAGGAAAGAGCAGGCTGGGCCTGAGGTTGTCGGGGGCCTGAGGTTGTCGGGTGCCCGCATGGGCCTCTGGGCAGCACCAGGATCTGATGGGACCAAAGGACAGGCCAGTGGGCCGTGTGGGGCCTGTGACTCTGAGTCAGCAGAGAATATGCCTGAATTACATCCTGATAGATGCACCCTGACTTTGAAGCTGAGGACACCTAAGGCATGGAGGTGGGGTGGAGGTGGGGGCAGAGCAGGGGATGGGGAGGGAGCCTGTGCCGGTCCAGGTCAGAGGTGGTGGCTTGGCCCCAGTGGCTCCAGATGCAATGAAGAGCCAAGAGGGACTTTCCTGAGGGACTTAGATGCCGGGGTGGAGGAGCACTGCAAGGTTTCAGCCTGAGTCCCCGGAGGATGGAGTCACCAGGAGCTGAGGTGAGGAAGACTGAGCGGTGGGAGGTTGTGCGGGGGTGCAGAGGCCTGAGCTCAGTTTGGCCCCTGCAGATTTGAGACGCCCACTCCATGCACAGGCAGAGACGGCAGGGGAGGGGAAGAGGCTGCAGCTCAGGTAGCCCTGGAATGTGCAGCCCGACATGCTGGGGCACTGGGTCCTGGTGCCCTCATGGCTGGGAGCTGCTTCCCTCCTGGGATGCCACAACTCCTTTAGGGCACATCTGCAGCTCCTGTGCCCACCACAGAGGGGAAGTGGGAAAGGCATCTGTGCCTATGCATGTTCTCCTTCACCTTGTCCTAGGCAGATCCCAGGCAGCACCTCCCCTCCCAAGTGGCTCCCCTTGGCCCCTGCCCCTAGTGTTCACAGACAGACTCTCGAAGAGGGCTGGACTCAGCGGCTCACTTCTAATGAATAGAACCAGGCAAAAGAGATGGCGGTCTCTCCTGAGATTGAATTGGGGGGGGGGGTGCGCTGCAAGTTCCGTCCACTGGAACTCTCCCCCTGGCTCTTGATAGTTGCTAGTTCTGGCAAAGCCAGTCACCTGCCCAGGGCAGAGGGCGGCCTGAAGCTGATGCCACGGAGAGACTGGGGCCTTCAGTCCAACAGCTTGTAAGCAACAGAATCCTGCCAGCAACACAGAAGCGAGCGTGGAAGCAGCTCCTCCCCTGATGAGCCTGAGCCTTCAGAAGACATGGCAGCCCTGGGCAGACACCTGCTGCAGCCGCGGAGAGCCCCTGGGGCAGAGGGCCCAGTGAAGCCTGCACTCCTGGCCCCAGGAGTAATCATTCCTGTGGTTTAACTGTGTGCTGGTGTGGCTGGGCCACAGTTTGGAGTAATCTGTCAAGGGACAATAAAGAACAAACACACACCTCAGGTCCTACTGGGTGGAAGCTGTACGGTCAGCACGGCATGTAATATCTTCCTCTTGAATTAGAAGATTCATTCCTAAGGCCAACGATTAAAAAAAAAAAATACCTCTAGTTGTAGCACCATTAAAATACATGACTTGCAAAAAACAAAACAAAACAAAAAAACTAAAAAAGAGCCATAGCTATTCTCTTCCATCTTAGCTACAGGAATATATTAATATATGTTAATTCCTTGACTGACTGAGCAATGGGCCAAAGTCATGAGAACAGATGTGTGAGGACCGTCAGTGACCACCCTGACCCCAGCCCTTACATACACACAAACTGTTCAACATAAGCCGTAACCTTGGGGGTCTTGACACTCTAAATTGTATTGTTTTTAATTAACTATTTCTATTCCCTAAACAATACCTGTTCATCGGAGAGAAAAATAGCATTACCTATACTAAGCAAAAGAAAGGAAATAAAATGCTCAGAAACATTTACATATGTATGCAGACTCTCACACACACACTCACACACACACGCACAGGCTCACACTGTGTCTAGGACTGCCTTTTCACTTATTTCTATGTCCTGAACATATTTCCACGTCAGTAGACATTTATCCTCGTAGCAGTAACAGCAATTAAATATTATTACAGCGTCTATTTTTACCATCATTTATTTAACTCATCATGTTTGAACTGTTAGGTTGTATCTATCGTTTTTTGTAATACAGGCAATTTGATGACAAATGACCCATCCCCTAATGTTCAATATAAAATATCAATTATATAAGGAGATAAGGGGTATTTGGCTAAAATAAAATTTAGCGTGCCCCACCTTCTCCACATGTACTATGCTCTAAAAAGGCATGAGTAGTTAAATTACCCCTTCTATTCTCCAGCACAGATCCTGAGCCCAGCGGTGGGTGCGGGTGCTTAGAGCACCGGTCTCCTCTCCTACCCGCCAGAAGGCAAAGGCCACTCAACTGCCACCTTAAGACACCCAGGATTCTCCTCTTCTTTTTTATTAATAGAATAAAGCTCAGGCTCAGTCCATGAGAGCAGCGCTCTCCGACTTTGCATTCATCAGAGTAACCTAGGTGGCCTGTTTAAAAATACACATTCCCTGGCTGCGCTCGCAGAAACTGGACTTCAGTGGTTTAGTGGGAGTGTGCATAGGCCAGGTGATTCTGAGGACCACAAGGGGTTAGGAATTGCCCCGTTAATTCTGGCCAAGGGAGAGATCAGACCATCCAGCATAGTCCGCAGCATATTTCTTTTCCCTCTTTTGCAATGAATATTTGATTGTCAGCGGGATGAGCCCCAGGATGAGGCACACATCCAAGAAAAATCCATGCCTCTCCATCTTTTCCCCAGGATTGCCCTTTGGCGAGACTCTCCTTTGCGACTGCTTCACTTTCCCCGGTTCATAGAACAAACCTCTTCTTAGTCTCTTTTGTTGTCTCTTATCTGTTCAACAAACACCCACTGCGCAGGACCATCCTCCGGTAAGCCGTCGAGTGGGGCCGTTTGGGAGCTCGTCTTCGTGGGGTGAGCCCTGAAGGAACCGGGGCCCCATAAGCCCGTGCTTTTGTGGGGGTTGCCCCCTCTCCCATCGCAGGGTAACTGGCACCAGGCTGTTAAGCTGTGGATGGGCAACCGCACATCCCATTGGGTGTGCGTATTTCAGCACGTGGAGTTGGCCAGTGAAGCCGGCCGAGGTCGGCACAGCCTACAGCAGCCGGCCTGTCCGTGGGGAGGAAGGGTCGTCCCGCCTCCCCTCCAGGCTAGTCCTGTTGCGCCTCCTCCTGCCTCACTCTGACTTTCGCGCACCCAGGCGTCTCTGAGGGTCGCGCCCCGATACCCTCCTCCACCCCAAGGCTTCTTCTCCCCAGGGGCCAGGTTGGGGGCCCAGGAGCGACACAGCCTCCGTAGGCCCGGGAAATCGCAGCTTCGTCAAAGCTAAGCCCGCCGTGCTCAGCTTTTCCCACCACCTGGAGGATCCACTCTCCGTCCGTCCTTCCCGACCTCAGGCTGCACAGAAAACTTGGCGGCGGGGATCAAGGAAGCCGCGCCCCAAGGCTCCCAGCGCAGCCCCAGGAGGAATCCTGCCGGCAACAAGAAGCTGTGCGCGCGGCCGGGCGCGAGCCTCCGCGTCCAGGTGGGGTCTCCGCGCCCCAATTCCACCCCGCCCCGCCATCGGCGCTCCCCGCAAGTGCGGGGTTTCCACCCGTCCTGGCGTTCGCGCCCACTCAGGGTCTCCCTCGCCCCCCCCGGGAGATGCTCCCCGCGTTCTATCCCGCCCCGCCCTGGCACGCCAGGTAAACGATGTGACCCCGCCCCCCTGCCGTCTCCCCTCCCCAGGACGCTGCCCCTGCCCCCACTTGTGGTGCTCGGGGCATCTCTAAAGCCCCCAACCAGAGTCCTCCAAGCCACACGCGAGCGTCACGCACCAGCAACGCGGCCCCACCCGCATGGACCTCGCCCACCTGTGGCTCTACCCCCGCCTCTGCGGCCTTCCCCACCGCTAGCGCGGCCCCCACCTACGACGACCCCCGCGTAGGTCCTCCTGCCCACACGTGTCCCCCCGCCAGCCCCTGCCCCTACCCCTGCCCCTAGCCGTGCCCCTGCCCCTAGCCGCTCCCGCGCCCCCGCATCCCCTCCAGTGCGCTCGGGCCCCGCCCATTGGCGCTGGGGCGGAGCAGGGGCGCGGGCCTGGCGGCGGTTCCGAGTCGGGCGCGCGCGGGCAGGGTCCCCACTGCCTGCTGCGCAGCCGGTCTAGCGGCTGCCCTCGGCCTTCTCGCCATGGACGCGGACGACTCCCGGGCCCCCAAGGGCTCCTTGCGGAAGTTTCTGGAGCACCTCTCCGGGGCCCGCAAGGCCATGGGCATGCTGACCAGCGGCGGGGATGTTCAAGGTGCGCGCGCCCCTACCGGTGGCGAGGGAGGGACAGACGGAGAAGGGGAGAACAGGGCGAAGTGGATGTGGCAAGGGCCGCGAAAGACAAGAAACCTTTGGCACGGGAAGAAGAACCGATCTCTGGAAGTCACCAGGGCGGGTGGAAGGTCAGGGGTTCAAGGTTATTTTGGAATTTAGGTGCTGTGCTTCCTGCACGGTGGCTCATGCTTGTCATTCCAGTGCATTTGGAGGCCGAGGCCGTAGGATCGCTTGAGCCCAGGAGTTCCAGAGCAGCCTGGACAACATAGTGAGACTCTGTGTCTACAAAAAATAAAAAAAGAAAAACACATTAAGATGCTGTATGTATTGGAAAATATTTATAGGTCATTCTTTTGAGCTCCATGTCCAAAAGCTTGCTAAAATGCTTGGGAGTTTGTGTACAGGCACGTGAGATTAGGATACATTGGCAGAATCGCGGTGTTCTCTGTTACCCTGGTTTTGCCACCTGGGAGGAATTACACATATTGAAGGTTAGTAAGTCCACGCCTCTTCTCTTCTGGGGAAAAAGGTACTTTGGAAACCAATATTATGTGGGAACGTGGCTTGGTTGGTACAGCCTCGGCTTAACAGGAGACAGCTGCCCTCAGCTCTGCAGGTGGCCTCAAATACGGTGGCCTCGAGCCCACATGGGTCACACCTGGGCTGTCCCTGGGAAGCCCGCCACGGCGGGTCGCCTGGGCATTCTTTCCCTGGCAGAGCTGAAGTCACAATTTTTTGTAGACTCTGTAAAGAGCTTTACCCTTCCGAGATATGATCTTGAACCTGTTGGAGCATTTGGACGCATTTCTTTAAGGAAGTTCACCTCCAGATGTGCTCAGAGGGCCTGGTCTTAGCTGCCACAGATTTACAAATTCTTACAGTAAGTAGGTTATTCCTCGAGAATTTATCTGTTGTGCCCCCATTCTTTTTGCCATTTTATTCTGATTCTATATTAGTACTTGATTTTCCCTGACGTAGAAGACTATTGCCTGTAGCTAGAGATCAGAGAACACATTCCCATTCAAGTATTAACTTCAGGGGAATTATCTGTCAGATGTGAAATTATGGTAAAATTCCATATATTAAAATGACCATAGCTACCATTTTTGAAAATATTTTGTATACTAGGAGCTTTACAATTCTTATCTCCAAGCCTAGATACATGATCCCAAGAGAGGCATGCCCTCATTTTGGAAGTGGGGAGAAAGACTCACAAAGAAAAATAACTTAGGTAAGGGCATGAGGTGCGTACATGATTGTGGTAGGAGCAAAACAGATCCTAATTCCAAATATTGTACTGTCCCTTAGACCACCAAGAGTACTAATGTCTGGCTCTGTCACCCAGGCTGGAGTGTAGTGGTGCCATCATAGCTCACTGCAGCCTTAAACTCCTGGGCTCAAGTGATCCTCCTGCCTCAGCCTTCTGAGTAGCAGGGAAGACAGGAATGCACCATCATGACCAGCTAATTGTTATTATTAATATTATTATTATTATTTCTGTAGAGACAGGATCTCACTATGCTGCTGAGACTGGTCTTGAACTCCTGGCCTCCTCTAGTAAGCCTCCTGCTTTGGCCTCCCAAAGAGCTGGGATTACAGACATGAGCCATCATGTCAGGCCTCCACCATGCTTTTCAGGGGTGTTTCTTGGTGAAGCTCCTTAATCTAGTTAATACTGAAAAGTGAGCAAAACCCAACTTGCTCAAAATTACACAGATATTCTTTGGGTGGTTTTGTGAGGGCAACGGAAAATGACTTTTTATAGCGATAGGAGTCAAGATAGCAAAAATGATATTAAGGCTTAGTACCAATGTGATGGGCTGCTTTTCTTCCCCCGGTAAAGTTCATATTATTTAATTATAAGATAAAATGGAAAATCTCTGAAGCAATGCTTCGGAGCCCAGTAGGATGGAAGGGGAATCTGAGAACAGTGCCATTTCGCCTCACACAGCTCCGGCGCCCCTCACCATCCTGTGCACACACATTCTTTGATGGGATCTTTTCAGCGTAAAGTGCAGTAATTGATTTTGCAGAAATTACTGGGTCTGGGAGGCAGATGATGAGTGATAGTGTCACCCCGTGGCACAGTGGGAGATTTGTGTGATGGCATCATTTTCTATGAATGCAGACCGCTTTGTGTGCCATACTCGGAGGACCCTTCGAAGCTAGACATTTTGTCATCTTTGTCAAGCTCTACCAATCTGATGGACCGTCAGAAACAATTAAAATTAGAAAGATGAAGATACGGTAACAACGTGGTCAGGGCAAACCTCAGGATACCAGATTGCAAGTTCACAGTTGCCTTTCTGCTAAGAACCTGCGGGTGAATATGGAACAGAGGGCCATGTGTCAGTAGTTGGGTTGCGTTTTGTGTTTCTTTTCTACAAGCCCTTTCTGGTGTGTTTGTGTATATTAGAGAGTAGCTGCCCAGAGGCTGACGTTTCCCTCCCCACTCCTCGGTTCTCTCCATCTTCACCCCCAAATCCCAGTCCTTTGTTTGGAATTGCAGTCATTGTGCTTGTCAGGATGGAAGAGGCAGCCAGACACATGGCAGACCAGAGCACTGAGAGGCAGAGACTTACTTATAAGTCCCGCCCTGGCCCTGCAGTCTGGAGTGCTGATTAGGGTCTCAGTGTTTTCCTCTGCAGAATGGAGGCATCACTCGGTCTCTGTCTTCTCTCCCTGTCTCTTTCTTCACTCCCCTCTTCCCTAACACACGTCTACAGTGAAAGTCTTCAGGAGCCAAAAGAGAAAAGGCTGGACTGTGCTGGGCCCCCCCGACCCCAGAGCCCATTTGCTGTCTTCCCAGCTTCCATGTGTCCAGAGTCGCCTGGGGGAGCCTTCGGAGGTGCAGATCCTGACTGTGTGGGTCTGAGTGAGGCTCCGACTCTCACCGGTAGGGGGAGGGCGCCGGTGCTGTGGGTCCCCCTGGGGCTAGTGGGGCGGTTTGCAAATCCTGCAGATCAGCTTCTCCACTTCTCCAGGTTTCTCCAACGTGAGATGCTCCCAGGAGTCCTTTGGGATTGTTTTCTGACTTTGACCAGGATTTTGACGGAGAAGATTCATTAATATAGGACCCCTTGTCTTAACGTACATATGTAAATGATCTGATCTGAAGTTTTCTGAATGGAAAATGATTGAAAGTTTGGCATCCAGTAGCCTTGGGGAGTCATTCCTTCATATCTTTTCAGCTGCGTCTTACTACAATTAAGATTTTCTTTCTGTGTGTGGGGTTTTTTTTTTGAGATGGAGTCTCCCTCTGTTGCCCAGCCTGGAGTGCAGTGGCTTGATCTGGGCTCACTGCAACCTCTGCCTCCTGTGTTCAAGTGATTTTTCTGTCCCAGCCTCCCAAGTAGTTGGGATTACAGACTTGCGCCACCACGCCCACCTGGGTTTTGTGTGTGTGTGTGTGTGTGTGTGTGTGTGTGAATGTGTATCTTTAGTAGAGATGGGGTTTCACCATGTTGGTCAGGCTGGTCTTGAACTCCTGACCTCAAGTGATCCACCCACCTTGGCCTCCCAAAATGCTGGGATTACAGGCTTGAGGCACCACACCTAGCCTTATTACTGTGTTTCTGTAATCATTTCACACATTAACGGACCACCTTCGGTGAGTCAGGGCAGGCTTTAGGCAAAAGAACCAAGCCCTTTATGCCCCTGGAGCTCTCACTCCTGCGGTGAGGCGGGTACAATGTGCCTGTAGCTGGACCTGAGAAGAAAATTTCCTGTCTTATGAAAGGGCCCAGGGGAGCCTCTAGTTGGGGCCCTTTGACCTGACCCCACGGTGAGGGAGGAGTCGGTAGAGGAGGGTGGCCCAGAGGAGGACCTTGGATTTGCCTTAGGGGAACTGGGAAGCAGGTGGAGGGAAGCCGACTGACTGGGAAGCAGACTGACTGTCTCCGATAAGGGTGGCTCTGTGGAGAGGAGAGGACAGGACGGGAGGTCATGAGTTTAGGGTCTCACAAGGAGCGGCCACAGATGGAAGCTTATGGGGTGGGGCATGTGGCAGGGCAGCCCTGTGCCCACAGACACACCCCGCCGAGGAGACCCAGGGACTTGAGTGTGTTGGGGCGGCGGGTAAATGGGCACTCAGCTATTACCGCTGGAAGGCAGAGCGTGTGAGCTGCGGCAGACACGGGCCGGTGGGGTAAAAGGAGAGTCTTCACAGCAGTGCTTAGAATAGCAGGAACTGGGAAAACCAGCAAAAACCTATCAATAGGAGATTAATGAATCCATTATGGCATCTGGAATGGAAGGAATTTTTGTCAGCGTTTAATAAGGAGCTTTGTGTTGGTCGAAAGTCAGGAGGTGCACAGTACACTCAAGGGCGGTATTGAAGAGCCGATTCCAGAGCAGCTCTGCACAGCAGATCCCCCTGGGGCCAGAGAGGCCGTTTGCAAATCCAAGCAGATCCGCTTCTTGGAGGTTTCTCCAACGGGAGCATCTCCCAGGATTGGGGCCTGTGTGGGTGGCTTGTGTTATTTATGCAATTTTAAATGATCTAGTTGCCACATTAAAGAAAGGCGGGCCGGGAGAGGGGGACACTGGGTGCCATGACTCACGCCTGTAATCCCAGCACTTCGGGAGCCCAAGGCAGGTGGATCACTTGAGCCCAGGAGTTTGAGGCCAGCCTGGGCAATATGGAGAGACCCAGTTGCTACCAAAAATACAAAACGATGAGTCGGATGTGGCGGTGCACACCTACAGTCCCAGCCCCGTGGGAGATTGAGGTGGGAGGATTGCCTGAGCCCAGGAGTTGGAGGCTGCAGTGAGCTGTGACTGCACAGGTTCACTCCAGCCTGGGCAACAGAGTGAGACCCTATCTAAAGAAAAAAAAGTTAAAAAAAAAAAAGCAAAAAAAAAAAAACTGTTTAATATTCAGCATTCAGCCCACTATTTTGATAACAATCAGTTATTGTGTTGTTTAATATTTTACACCGTTTTCCATACTAAGTCTTTGAAATCCATTGTGTAAAGAAT